CTGCCGCGCGCCGCGCCCGGTGCCGGGTTCTCCCCTCGCCCGGTCCGCCCCGCGCCCCCGGCTGTGCACCATGCTGGCTGTGCACTTTGACAGGCCCGGCGGACCCGAAGTCCTGCACCTGAAGGAGGTGGCCACGCCGCGCCCCGCGGAGGGCGAAGTCCTGCTGAAGGTGGCGGCCAGCGCCCTGAACCGGGCGGACTTACTGCAGGTACGCAGGGGCCGGTGCAGGGCGGGACCCCGGGGCGCCCGGGCGCCCCGACGAGCTGTGCCCGCCGAGGAGGCCAGAGCTCGGGCGCGGCCTGCAGCACTCTGAACCCCGGCCCTTGGCTCGCGGGAGGGCTTGGCTGCGGAGGGGCGCAAGGACCCGGGATTGCTCTGTCTTCCTTCTCACCCCGGTGGTTTCTCGCTCTCTCACTTTGGTGCTGGGCCTAGGGCTTGAACTCAGGGCCCCGACTCTGTCCCTAAGAATTTTTTGCTCAAGGCTAGCGCTCTACCACGTGAGCCACAGCTCCACTTCCAGCTGTGTGTGTGTGTGTGTGTGTGTGTGTGTAATTTACTGGTTTCCAACCATGATCCTCAGATCTGAGCCTCCCAAGTAGCTAGGATTACAGGCGTGAGCCACTGGCACCCAGCTTAAACTGGATTTTAAATTGACTCGTATAGTCCTGGCTACTAGGAGGCAGAGATTAGAAGGATGGAGGTTCAGGCCAGCCAGGAAAATAAAAACCTGGGAGAAGTGTTGTGCATCTGTCAACGCAGGTATATAGGAAGTGTGAATAGCACCCTATTAAAAAATAAAAAAGGGGGGAGGACTGGAGGTATGGCTTAAGAGATAGAGCACCTGCCTAACTGCGTGCAAGGTACTGAGTTCAAATTCCAGTACCACCAAAAAGAATCCACAGTTGTTGTTTTTTTTTTTTCTAGTCTGTCTCCTAATTTACTTTGTAATCTTGAACAAGGCCTTTCCCTGCCTGGGCCTATTTCTCCAAATGTCTTTAGATGAAGTAAATAGCTGAGGACCTTATGAGGTATGACATGAACTGATGATGTGACCTACAGTCTTTTATTTGTACATACCAAATTAACCTCTCCTTTTTTCTGACTCACAAAATCAGACTACTTCCTGAATAGAAAACTTAGAATAGAAAGACTGAGAAGGGCTTGGAAGGTGGCTCGGTGGTAGAGTGCTTGCTTCGCATGCCTGAGGCCCTGGGTTCAATTCCTCAGTGCCACATAAACAGGAAAAAAAAAAAAAAAGAAGTGACGCTGTGGCTCAAGTGGTAGAGCACTAGCCCTGAGCTGAAGAGCTGAGGGACAGCACCCGGCCCAGAGTTCAAGCCCCACAACAGACAGGGGGAGGGAAAGAGAGAGAGAGAGAGAAAATATATTAGGAGGCAGGCTAGAGATGGGGACCATGCTCGACACTTAACGGTGTGCCTTTCTCTGCAGAGACAGGGGCACTATGCCCTGCCCCCAGGAGCCAGCAGCATTTTGGGACTGGAGGCATCAGGACATGTGGCAGAATTGGGGCCTGGTTGCCAGGGGCACTGGAAGATTGGGGACCCAGCCATGGCGCTGCTGCCTGGTGGAGGCCAGGCGCAGTACGTCACAGTCCCTGAAGACCTGCTCATGCCCATCCCAAAGGGTTTGACGATGCTACAGGCTGCAGCCATCCCAGAGGCCTGGCTAACTGCCTTCCAGCTGTTACATCTCTGTGGTGAGGAGACCCCACGTTCACTCATTGAGCTCAGCACCCTGGTGCACCAGCCTCCCCGTGTTCTCCGAGTGCCCTATCCTGCTATACCACCAGTAATATCAAATCCTCAAACCATGTTAAAGTGGCTCGATACAGAGGCCAAGAATCATGATTAGCAAATGGAAGGCCTATGTGCATGTTAACTCTGTAGGTCCAGCTGTGGTCCCAGCTCCTCAAAATCATGCTGAGTTTCTGTCTGGGGCCCAATGCAATACAAAAGCCAGACTGGTGTATAGCTCAATACTGGAGCACTTGTCTGGCATGCTCAAGGAGCTGGGTTTGATCCCTAGTAAGGAACAAACAAACAATGCAGAAGGGGCCAGTTTATTGCTCCCCAAGCCCCAAGAGGCCAGCCATGAGCTCATGTGAAGGAAACTAACAAGGCTTGGTCCCTGTCATGAGAGCTTTTAGGGAACTCAGTATAACTAAGAAGGCAACCTGTGCATAACAGTCAGGCAACTCGCCAGGTTTAGTGTTGTATATCTGTAATCCCAGCACTAGAGAGGCAAAGCTAGGAGGATGGCAACTGTGAGGCCAGCTTGAGTTCCATAGTAAGACACTAGGTCAAAAACAAACCTCAGGGGCTGGGGATTATGGCTTATGGGTATCACAGTTCCCCAGCATGGGCAAAGCCATAGGTTTGATCCTTACACCAAAATAAAATAAAAAATTCCAGCACTTGTGAGGCTGAGGTAGGAAGATAATGAGTTTAAAGCCAGCCTGGACTTCATCACAAGACCCTGCCTTGGGGAAAAGCAATCAAACAACTGTAAAATCCACAAAAGTAGCCTTGTCCCTAACTGCAATTCATGTTCATGATGAGAAAAGCTGATGTGGGCAAGGATGGTCTGAGAAGGCTTGCAGGAAGAAAAGGATTGAAGTGTGGGTACTGTGTCGGCAGAAAGCACATCAGGGTGCCCCAAGGAAGAGCATCAGATGAGGCCAGCTGCTCCACTGAGAGGTGAAAGGTGACTGTTGTCATTTGTTAGAGATTAAGCACTAGACTTGGGATACCATCACACTACATTGGGTCTATACCCAATGCAAAGGCAATGAAGAATTACTCCCTATCCTGAAGAAGAAGTGTCCTAAGGAAAAAGCCCCATTCTGAGGAGGAATGGGTGCTTGTGTGCAGTACTTGGGTCAGTGAGAGCCAGATTCAGAATGAAGGAGTAGCTTCAGGTGGTGACAGTGCCATTGAGGGATTATTCTTGCTTATAGTGTATGGGGCAGAGATGTGCATTTTGGTGGGGTTTTTTTTGTTTTGTTTTAGGCAGAATGGAGGTTGTCAATGTGGCTGCAAACAGCCCTGTTTCTACAGGTCTTTTTCCACTTGGCCAGAGGCAATAAGACAAAAAGAGCAGTCATAATGCTTTCTTCTAGAAGCAAGAGATTTGCTATTTGGATTAGGAACATATGCTCCTATAGTTGGAAACTAAAGAGAATGGCTCCTACTTCCTGTCACAGGACACGTTCAGGCTGGAGACTCTGTACTAATCCATGCAGGATCAAGTGGTGTGGGCACAGCTGCCATTCAACTGGCTCGGAAGGCTGGGGCTATTCCTCTGGTCACAGCTGGCTCAAAGCACAAGCTTCAAATGACAGAAAGGCTTGGGGCAGCTGCTGGATTCAATTACAAAGAAGAGGACTTTGCTGAAGCAACACTGAAATTCACCAAAGGTAATCAACTGCTTCTGTAGCTCAGTATGTATTGAAGGTGCTTAAATACAATCCTCATTGGGCATCAAGGGTGCCAGTGCTATGAGTCAGTGTTCCATCTGCTGAATGCACAATGATTGCCCTGGTGAAATTCTTGTTTTCTGGTGTTTGTCCACTGGAGGGAGCCAGTCAGCATCTTAGGTCTTATGGTCTAAGTTGCATTCTTCCGTGTAATATAACTCATACACACTTTAGAAACAATAATCACACAGAGTTGCCCTGGGATTATCTAAGACCTCTTCTTTCCAGTCAACTTCTTTGGACTCCCTAGTTCCGGTATTACAGGTGTGTGTTAACCAAGCCCAGCTTCTGACATTTATTTTTAGCCACATACACATCATGGACTGTTACTGTGCACCAAACTTTTTGTGTCTAACTAGCATGTTTCCTTTGGAAGGTGCTGGAGTTAACCTTATCCTAGACTGCATAGGTGGATCTTACTGGGAGAAGAATGTCAACTGTCTGGCCCTTGATGGTTGCTGGGTTCTCTACGGTCTGATGGGAGGAGCTGATATCAGTGGACCCCTCTTGTCAAAGTTACTTTTTAAACGAGGAAGTCTGATCACTACTCTGCTGAGACCTAGGGACAAAAAGGTGAGTAATAAGTGGAAAGAAAAAGTAACGTAAGCCAAGCACCAGGGGCTCCACACCTGTAATTTCACTACTTAGGAGGCCAAGATGGGAATAGAGGTTTGAAATCAACTTCAGCAGATAAAGTCTAGAGACTCTTATCTCCAGATAACTAGCAAAAAGCAGCACCTGGAGATGTGGCTCAAATGGTAAAGAATAAAAAGGTTGAGCAAGCTCAAGAAGTCTTGAGTTCAAACCCCACTGCCAGCACACACAATGTGACATAGCTCACCTCCCCCCCTCCAGCTTCATTTACATTATGCCCCAAAATAAGCTTTGGCACATCTTAGGTTAGCCATTGAAGAAATCTGCCACCTAGTGGATAAATACATAGATTTCAGAGAATGATTCAGATTGGTCAACAGAAACTTCAAGCATAACAATACATACATACCTTTAGATAGATTGATAGATTATTTTATATATTTGATAATATATCACATATTTTTAATGTGTGGGTCTTTTATTGAGATTAGTTAATTACATAGATTTCACATATTTTACAGTGGAGTAGTGATACTTAAGGTCACAAACACATTTGAACCTTCACAAGGTAAATTGTCATTATCATGGTCTATGAAGTTTGTGAATTCTATGAGCTTTGACAATACAATTATTTCTTCCACATCAGGTGAATATGTCACATATTTGATCCCATATGTATCTGAATATATTCTGATAGATGAATAAAGCATTGACCATAGGAAGTCAGCACATTTACAGGTGTACACTAACCACTCCCATCTTTATTTATTTTTAGCCACATACACACAAATACATCATAGAATCTTACTATGCACTCAACATGTCTGACTAGCATGTTTCCTTTGGAAGGTGCTGGAGTTAATCTTATCCTAGACTACATAGGATCATGGTTTCAATAGTTTCAAGACTTTGTTTTCAAAGTTAGAATTCTCATCAGTTTGCTAAAAAAAAGCCTATTAAGTAAATATCTTTACCTTCAACAGATTATATGTTCCTAAAAATCTCTGTGTGGCAACCTAGTACGAGCCTCTATCAGAAGTTTCAACCTACTGGAGGAGAAGGCTTAAGCATTCTAGTTGCCCTGTTTGTGGCTACCTCTTGTGTGACACCTTTATTAAATGTATTTATTTATTTGGCTGTCAGTGGCACTAGTATTTTACTCCAGTCTTCAGTGATTGGATACAAAAATCACACATTTCACCTACAAATTACACCTACAAGGTGGAAAATGGGTGTGCTTCTTTAGAAATCTGCAATGTCAGAGAGCATTGGGCTGAGCCAGATGGGGAGAGTGTGGCAAGTAAGGCCTCTCTTCAGTCTGATGTTTTTCATTTCCTTCTTTTAGTACAAGCAAATGCTGGTGGAAGCTTTCACAGAGCAAATTCTGCCCCACTTCTCCAAGGAAGGCCCCCAACGTCTTCTGCCTGTTCTGGACAGAGTCTACCCGGTGGCTGAAATCCAAGCAGCCCATGAGTACCTGGAAGCCAACAAGAACACGGGCAAGATCGTTCTGGAGTTGCCCCAGTGAGAGAGGAGGACAGTGACAGGTCAGGCCACCTCAGGCCTTCCCAGAGCAGACGCGGGGCAGGCTGACCCAGGTTGGCCTAGTGAATTAGTCCATGTAAAGCTGATCCAAGCAAATAAAGAGTGGATTAGAAGGGCGGTGTGCTCAGCCGTGGGCTGCTGGGACGGCAGGCGGGGTGAGGGCGTGCAAGTATGGACGATCAGCGGATGCGCCACCGGAGCCCCGCGCAGAGACGGGTTAGGGCAGTACTGCGCCGTCAGCCTGGGCGCGCGGCCTGAACTCTGCCTGCCGCGCAACTCCACCCTGGCGGGTCCGGTACCTGGCTGAAGGCCCGCCCCTTCCACTGCACACCTGAGTCGGCCCCGTCCCGCCCCTCTCTTCAGGACCCGCCCATCCTGGCTCCTCTCCTCACCTTGGCCAGAGCACCTCCCCTTCCGGAGTTCTTGTCCCGCCCTTTCCGGTCTCTAATCCGGAAGTGCCTTGGCATCTGCTTTTTGACTTCGCTCTCCGGCGCCTTTGACTTCGGGTCTTTATGGTCGAGACCGGATATGACGTAGGCACGTCTTGGCGTGGGACGGCGATCTTCCGGCCGCACCACAAGAGCTTCCGGTTGCGCTGGATGTTGATGTTCTGCGTTTGATACCGGGCTGTGCTCGAAGTCCAGCGGGTCCTCTCCAGTCCCCTCCGCGTTTCTGTTCTTGGTGCTGTAACCTCCTCACCCGCCAAGATGGCGATGCAAGCGGCCAAGAGGGCGAACGTAAGTACCGCGCCCTCTGCGGAGCGGAGGGACGACTTGGCGGCCGGAGGTATCGGCGTTCCGGCCTCGGTCCTCAGGGCCAGGGCGCCTGCCCGGGCCCGCTCGCAGCCACAGTGTCGCCCGCCCCGTTAGACCGTGCTGTGGCTCCCCCGGGGCCTGGCACCGTGGTAGTCGCGGCCCCTGCTGCTCGTCTCGCACTCACGACTGGTGTCAGGATCGCCCCCTCAGCCTCGTCCTCAATAAGTGACCGTAGTTCACTGCCATCCAAAACCTACGCGTCCCCTCACCTGCGAAAGCGATGGGGCTTTTTCATGGATGTATTAATCCGAAAGTAACATTTGAGCGTCTGCTGTGCGTCTGAATTCCCACATGGGAAGCAATTCATCGCTTATTTTTGTTGGTCATCTACTATTATATCAGTCAGCTTTAGGTATTGCGTATACAGGAATGAATAAAACAGAAAGTTCCGAGTACATTCTAGCGTTTGAATTAGAGTGCTATGGAGACTTTCTAAAAATTAAAATTTCGAGCCGAGTCCACAACTGTAAGACTCATAATAAGATGAAAGCAGATAACAGACCACTGTAATGTTGAGATGGGGGTCTTTGATGACCTTGATGATTCTTGTAATCATTTCAGTGGATGAAAACTTGGTTGCAGTGGGATGAGAAGATTCCACTGAAATTGAGAAAGTGAAGACAGTAGCAGGCCCTTTTGAAAAGTTTTTCTATCGGGAAAAGAGAAATTGGGTGATAATTGGCTTTTTTTTTCTCAAGATGTATAATCTAAAGTGTATTTGTACACCAATAAGGCTGCCCCATAAATTGGGAGAAAATATAAAATGAAAGAAACACGGCTTAAATTCCAGAGTGAAAGTTATGAGTAGATGAACAGTAGGTGGAATAATATAAGGAAAGTGGGTGGGTATAGATGAATGTAGTTTGGGCAGATAAGAGTTAAACATTCAGATGTTAAATAGAGTGATGGTGGTGAGTTTTTAGGCGAGAGGAGAAAGAGTGGTAAGTTTCACAGAATAAGAAAACAAGGGCTGGGAAGGTGGCTCAGTTGTAGAGCGCTTGCCTTGCATGCCTGAGACCCTGGGTTCAATTCCTCAGCACCACATAAGCAAAAAGAAAAAAGCAGGAAGTGGCGCTGTGGCTCAAGTGGTAGAGTGCTAACCTTGAGCTGAAGAGCTGAGGGACAGTGCCCAGGCCCAGAGTTCAGGCCCCACGTCCAGACCCCCCCCAAAAAAAAATAGTAAAAAAAAAATAAAAATAAATAAAAAAAGAAAAAGAAAACAAAATTACCAGGGACATATATTATGATTGTCTAGTGATGTTGTCTTTTTAAACTTAAGCTTAAATTTTATTTTAATTAATCACTTATTATTTGTCACCACCATTAGTTTAAAGGAGTGGAATGGATACCTTATTCTTTCACTACAAAATATTTATGCCAAAAGTCAATGTAGTAAATAGCTACTAACAAATATGTTAATAAGGAGGACAAAAATGAGATCTTGATGGGAGATCTTGCTTTGAGAGTGATCGACTTAGACCAAGGACAGTGTAAAGAGTCAGGAAGTAATGATGAAGCTCTGTAGAACAGTATCATTTAATGTCAAAGACGGAGAAGAAATAGAATTAGGAGGAAATAGGGTGTCTAGAAGGGAGCAGTCAACAGTGTAAGAAGCCACAGAGAAGTTTGAGTATTGAACACTGCAATGAAAAGTTCTTAGTAATGGGGCTGGGAAGGTGGCTCAGTGGTAGAGCGCATGCCTTGCATGCTCGAGGCCCTGGGTTCGATTCCTCAGCACCACATAAGCAAAAAGAAAAAAGCTGGAAGTGGCGCTGTGGCTTAAAGTGGTAGAGCACTAGCCTTGAGCTGAAGAGCTGAGGGATATCGCCCAGGCCCAGAGTTCAGGCCCCACGACCGGACCCAAAAACAAAACAAAACAAAAAAAAAAGTTCTTAGTAAATAAAAACACTTCAAGTGCTGGAGTGGAAGCTTAGGTTTTAGTGTCAATGAAGTAAAATAAGACTTCTTTTTTCTACATTCTTTTTTTTTTTTTTTGACACCCAAATCTCTTTTATTGGGGGTAGGGGGAATGAGCCTCTGGGGCATGCCTGGGGCCCTCACTGCACAGCTTGTTCATTGGCGCTGCCTCCGGAATCCTGAGGCTTCATCACATCTGGAAGCTCTGGTGGGCTAGAGAAGGGCTGGATGCGGGGCCTCAAAGGCTACATCTGCCCGGAAGGCTAGGCCCACTGTGGCTGGGGCCTGTGGCCGTGCTGTCTGGCTGGTGAAGCCACACTTGCCCAGCGTTTTCCTATCATCTAGAAGCTGGTCGTCCTTGTAGAGCCGCTGCTTGTCCGGTGGCCGCTTGAGGATGCCCTCGACGATGCCTTCAGCTCGAACACGGTGCTCGACTCCTTGGCGTCCGTGAAGATGGTGGTCTTGTGGCGCCGGATCATGAGGAACATATCCTGGGGGGCAGCGGGCAGCGTCAGCGCCTGGCCGCCGGCCCCCTCCCACCCCCCCACCCCCTTTTTTCTACATTCTTGACTAAAAAAGAAAAAAAAGGAACAAGTCTCGATAAGTAAATAGAGAATGCTGTTAAATTAAGAGACAAAAACCTTGTGTTTTTTCTTTATTATGTTTTCCTAATGCTTAGCCCAGTGTATTATTACATTTAAAAAGCATTTAGAAGCTGGGCACCGGTGGCTCATGCCTGTAATCCTAGCTACTCAGGAGACTGAGATCTATCTGAGGATCACAGTTCAAAGCCAGCCTGGGCAGGAAAGTCCATGAGATGCTTATCTCCAATAAACCACCAGAAAACTGAAAGTGGCGCTGTGGCTCAAGTGGTAGCCTTGAGCTGAAGAGCTCAGGGACAGTGCCCAGGCCCAGAGTTCAAGCCCCACAACCGACCAAAAAAAAAAAGGTTCTCGTGGATTTTTCTGCCTAGACTGGCTTTGAATCTTGATCCTTAGATTTCAGCCTCTTTAAATGGCTAGGATTACAGGTGTGAGCCACTGGCTCCTGACTTGCTTGTTGTTTTTTTTTTTTAGTGGTACCACCTCTGTCCCTCAGTGTAATGACTGTACATCTTTCTCATTTTAGATTCGCCTTCCACCTGAAGTAAATCGGATTTTGTATATAAGAAATTTGCCATACAAAATCACAGCTGAAGAAATGTATGATATCTTTGGGAAATATGGACCTATTCGTCAAATCAGAGTGTAAGTCTTTCTTGGACTTCTGAAATATCATTAATGATAATGATGGCATAATCTGTCATAATGATGGCATAATCTGTCAGGTGAATATACTAAGGCACAAAGATTAAAAGTGCTAGTTTAGTGATAAATTCTTCTGGCTATCAATTGAACCTCTTTACTACATAGTGTCATAGCTTTTGCACTAAGAATCCTTTGAAAGTATTTTAAAGCTTTTATTTTTAGTCATAGGGTTTTGTTTTGTTTTGTCTTGTCTTGTTTCCCTGCGCTAGTCCTGCAGCTTGAACTCAGGACCTGGGTGCTGTCCTTGAGTTTTTATGCTCAAGGCTAGTGCTCTACCACTTAAATTACAGCTCCTCTTCCATCTTTTTTGGGGGGAGGTGGGGGTTAATTGTTGATAAGTGTCTCAAGGACTTTTCTGCCCAGGGTGACTTCAAACTGAGATCCTCAGATCCTAGCCTCCTGATCTTAGCTAGGATTACAGGTATGAACCACTGGCGCCCACATACAATGTTTCTTCCTTAATACATTTTTTACATCCAAAGGATTTTCCTTTTCTTCTGAAAGTAAATCAAGAGCTGGAAATATATCAGCATTAATACTTGAATGGGATGAAAAAGAAAGTGTTGTAATCCTTTATAGGGAGTATCAGTCCTCAGAGTACCTGGTAAGGGCTGTGGACCCTCTACAGAAGAACACACACAACATTTAGCTCATATTTCAGGGGATACATGCCCTGTAGGTTGAGAAACCCTGTTTTAGGGTCAGAGGGTAATCTTACAAAATCATATACAGAAGATCCCTATCTTAAGGCCAAGATTTTATTTTAGCCCTGTGCTAAGTTGTCTAGCCCTTTTGGTTTTCTTTCTTCACCTGTGACTCTTAATAGTGGAAGTGGCGTGATAAATTTACTGAATTAGTTGTTAGACTTGGGTTCAAATACCAGCTGAGCACTTGTTAGTTTCATGAAAATGAGAAGAATACTTACCCTACCTGAGATCTCCGAAGACTCTTAGTTTGAATCAAATTGGACAGAGTCTGTGAAAGTATTTTGAGTCTTCCATTCCTGTGGGTGCTATCCACTCCTCTCCTGACCCTATAGCCCCTTCTATGTCCATTTTTTACTAGTCAATGTATGATTTTCCATTGTCCATGGATTCACCTTTCCCAGAAGTATGTGAGCTCTCAGGATGAGTACTATGTATTCTTTCTGCTTCATGTCAACAGCACTTGTTGTCATGCCTTTGAAAATGTAATATGGTTGTTATTAGTTCATTAAATCAATGGATAGAGAGTGCTGCAGAAACCACCACAAGGAGTTATATGGGGCGATTTACACCTGTGATCCCAGCCAGTTGGGAAAGGTTAAATCAGGAAGGTCAAAATTTGAGGCCAGGGTTAGGAAGTTGGCTTAGTGGTAGAGTGCTTGCCTAGCATGGATGAAGCCCTGGGTTGGATTCCTCAGTACCACGTGAACAGAAAAGGTCAGAAGTGGTGCTGTGGCTCACATGGTAGAGTGCTAGCCTTGAGCACAAAGAGGCTCAGGGACAAACAAAGTCCACGCCCAGAGTTCAAGCCCCAAGACTGGCCACAAAAAAAAAAAAATCGAGGCCAGATTGGGCAAGTTAGGGAGACCTTGTCTTAAAATGAAATAAAAAGGCCTAAGGATATAGTTCAGTGGTAATGTGCTTGTCAAGCATACAGAGGTTACAGGCTCCTTGGGACCACAAAAAAGAAGAAAAAAAAAAAGTACTAAAGTAATTCAAGAAGTGTTTAGAGAAGCTTTGCTTCTACAGCTTCTTCCTCCAGTCTCAGCTTTAGAGTTGCCCTTTTAGAGAGGCTTTCTTCAACTTCCCTAGCTGACTTCTTTCAGTCTATTTTTTCCATTTACATGTCTTCCTCTTAACATAGATCCTTGAAGAAATGAGTGGAACTTGCCTTTGTCACTGTTGTAGCACTGTCACTTAAGAAGAATGTTATGTCTGCTTTTATATAAAAGTCTGGGTTACAGGAACTTAGGTCTTACTTATATTATAGATTGATAGCCATTTTTTCTGTTCCTTCATTATGATCAAGTTCTATTGCATATTTGGTACCCACAAACTATGGTAACTAGTCCTCCCAATTTTCATAGTACTGAGAGATTTTCTTTTGGTTGCTAAAACTTCATCACTCTGGCAGAACAATTGCTCATCTGACATGTAACAGACACTTTTTTGCATTTGTGTGTGTGTTTGTGTGTGTGTGCGTGTGCCCTTGCCTGTGGCTGCCTATGGGTCTTGGGGCTTGAACTCAGGGATGGACGCTATCCCTGTGCTTTTGTGCTCAAGGCTAGCACACTACCATTTGAACCACAACATATCTAGCTTTTGGTGGTAGTTAATTGGGGATATGAGTCTTAAGAATCTCACAGATTTTTCCTGCCTGGGCTGGCTTTGAATGGTGATCCTTATCTCTCAGTCTTCTTTTTTTTTTGGGGGGGGGGTCCGGTCGTGGGGTCTGAACTCTGGGCCTGGGCGATGTCCCTCAGCTCTTCAGCTCAAGGCTAGAGCTCTACCACTTGAGCCACAGCGCCACTTCCGGCTTTTTTCATTTTGCTTATGTGGTGCTGAGGAATCAAACCCAGGGCCTCCTGCATGCAAGGTAAGCGCTCTACCACTGAGCCATCTTCCCAGCCCCTATATCTCAGCCTTCTAAATAGCTAGGATTACAGCCAATGGCTGTAGTTTGTACTTTTTAAAGCTTTTTCATACTGTTACCTCCTCTGATTTTTTTTTTTTTTGTCAGTTCTGGGGCTTGAATTCAGGGCCTGGCCACTGTCTCTGAGCTTATTTTGCTCAAGGCTAGCACTCTACCAAATGAGGCACAGTTCCACTTCTGGCTTTTTCTGCTTATGTAATATTGAGGAATCAAAGCCAGAACTTCATGCATGCTAGGCAAGCATTCTACCACTAAGCCACATTCCCAGCCCTCTTTTGATTTTTTTTTTTCCGGTTGTGGGTCTTGAATTCAGGGCCTGGGCACTGTCCCTGAGCTCTTCAGCTCAAGCTAGTCCTCTACCACTTGAGCCACAGTGCCATTTCTGGTTTTCTGTTGATAAATTGGAGATAAGAGTCTCACGGACTTTCCTGCCCAGGCTGGCTTTGAACCAGGATCCTCAGATCTCAGCCTCTTGAGTAGCTAGGATTACAAGCATGAGTCACCAGCACCCAGCTCCTCTTCTGAGGTTTAGAATCACATGCAACCAAGTTGAGCATCTTTAATCCTGAAAATCCAAAATACTCCAAATCTGGACGTTAGCCACCACAGCACTGTAAAAGTTTGTATTTGGAACATTTCTATTTTTGTATTGCGAATGCTCAAATAGTAAAGTCATTACAAATATTCTAAAATCCAAAATCTTAAATACTTCTGGCCCAAGTATTTTATATAGAGGATTTTGAATCTGTATTAAATTAAGGTGAAGCAGAAAAAAATAAATTTTGAAACAAGAACTTTTCTTGCTTATTAATAAGAACCATCACTCCTGAGTACTGTACTTTTCCCATTCAAGACTGAAACATTGTTCTTAGTATAAGAGATGGGAGAGTCTAAATCAGTGAATGTGAAGATTATGACATTACTGCAAAATTACGTATCTCAAAATAGAGCCTTTCTTGTCTTCCTTCCCTTTCTCCTTGTCTCTCTTTCATCCTTCTCCCCCTCTCCCCCATTTTTTTGGGTGTGTGTGTGCCAGTACTAGGGCTTGAACCACTGGGCACTGTATCTCTTCAGCCACAATTCCAGCACTTTTCTGGTTAATTGAAGCTGGAGTCTCACAGACTTGCCCATAATGGCTTTGAACCATGATCCTCAAATCTCAGCCTTCCAAGTAGTTAGGATTATAGATAGGTATATGCCACTAATGCCCAGCTCAAACGATAGTTTTCTGTATTAAAATGATAAGTGTTTAGGTATGCATGTATTTTAATTATATGTGATTTACCTCTGCAGGGGAAACACACCTGAAACTAGAGGAACAGCCTATGTAGTCTATGAAGACATTTTTGATGCCAAGAATGCATGTGACCACCTGTCAGGATTCAACGTTTGTAACAGATATCTTGTGGTTTTGTACTACAATGCCAACAGGGTAAGTTTGGTGAGCAAAGTTCTCATCATATGGAGAGCCCATTTGAGAATGAGCATAAAACTGTACCATGGTGGGAAATATGTGCTATGGGTTCTCTTCTTGACTATGCATTTAGCTGCAGGTTGATACCTAAAATTCCATGCTTTCCCCCTATCCAGGCATTTCAGAAGATGGACACCAAGAAAAAGGAGGAACAGTTGAAGCTTCTCAAGGAGAAATATGGCATCAACACAGATCCACCAAAATAAAAGTTTCTCGCATTTTCATTTTGGACTAACACCTATGAGTGACCACCACCACCATTTTTTCCTTTGTAATTAATACTGAATATTGTTGTTTCTTTTTTTTTTTTTTTGCCGGTCATGGGGCCTGAACTCTGGGCCTGGGCACTGTCCCTCAGCTCTTCAGCTCACGGCTAGCGCCCTACCACTTGAACCACAGCGCCACTTCCAGCTTTTTTTTTTTTCTGCTTATGTGGTGCTGAGGAATCGAGCCCAGGGCATCATGCATTCAAGGCAAACGCTCTACCACTGAGCCACCTTCCCAGCCCCTGAATATTGTTGTTTCTTGAGATTTAAAGTGACTTGCTTGGATCTTTGATACATGTTAAAATATGTTAATAAAACTTGTAGTTTTTTGTAAGACATGTGTTTTGAACTTTCTCTTCCCATTTCTTTTTTTTTTTTCTTTTTTCCCATTTATTTTATTTATTTAGTGGGTCCGGTTGTGGGGCCTGAACTCTGGGCCTGGGCGCTGTCCCTCAGCTCTTCAGCTCAAGGCTAGCACTCACTTGAGTCACAGCGCCACTTCCAGCTTTTTTTTTTCTGCTTATGTGGTGCTGAGGAATCGAACCCAGGGCATCATGCATTTAAGGCAAACGCTCTACCACTGAGCCACCTTCCCAGCCCCCTCTCCTCCCATTTAATACTACAAAAAACAAAACAGGTGCATCATTTAAAAAGACATAGTTTTTTTCTTTCATGCAATTGTTTCTAACACATTTATAAGATTATTTCTTTGTTGCTTAAAACAAAACAGGTGAATCATATAAAAAGACATAGTTTTTTTCTTTCATGGGATTGTTTCTAACACATTTATAAGATTATTTCTTTGTTGCTTTGTATGTCCCTCCCCTACAGTATAACCCCTGCTTTCACTGTATTTGATGTTGTGGAGGGGAAGGGAAAAAACAAATCGCTTAAATAGGGATACAGGTGGACCCTTTGCAACAATGAGATGTACAAGTCCTTATGTCGAAAACAGACTTTACAACTTTGGTGGGGGGGGAGGAAGGCTGATGGGGGACGGAGGGAGGATGGGGTGGGAAGGGGAAACAGGAGGAGGCTACAATGCTTGATAAGAAATGTACTCATTATCTTGCCCATGTAATTGTAACCTCTCTGTACAGTATTTTCACAATAAAAAAAAATGTACACAGAAAAAAAAAAAAGACTTGTAGCTCAGGCTCGCCTGTAACTTGAGATCCTCCTGCCTCCATATCCTAAGGGTCGGGATTATAGGCATATTCCACCATGCCTGACTTGAAAATAGGGGTCTTAAAAAAAACTGGGAGGAGAGGTTGAGACAGCATCTCTGTGTGTTGCCGAGGATTCTCTTAAACTTACATTCCTTCTGTCTCAGCCTACTCGGTGCTAGGATTACAGTTATATCAACTTTGCCTGGTTGCTTTTTATATTCTTTTTTTTTTTTTTTTTTGGTCCGGTCGTGGGGCCTGAACTCTGGGCCTGGGCGCTGTCCCTCAGCTCTTCAGCTCAAGGCTAGCGCTCTACCACTTGAGCCACAACACCACTTCCGGCTTTTTCCTTTTTGCTTATGTGGTGCTTAGGAATCGAACCCAGGGCCTTGGGCATGCAAGGCAAGCGCTCTACCACTGAGCCACCTTCCCAGCCCCGCTTTTTATATTCTTAATGCTTAGTTATCAAAGGAACTTGTCATTTATTGAATGTCTATCAATAATGAACTTTTTATAACTGAATGTTGGTAGCTGCATGGTGCCAATGAAGAAACAGTAGTACATCATGGTGGTTGAATGAAATGCTTTCATAACAACCTGGGATAAGAGCAACTAATTGTTAGTCCTGACCCAGATACCTTCGCCAGTATGGATCCCCTTGTCCTTAGAACACTGGTCCTTTAGGGGCTGGGAAGGTGGCTCAGTGGTAGAGCGCTTGCCTTGCATGCCTGAGGCCCTGGGTTCCATTCCTCAGCGCCACATAAGCAAAAAGAAAAAAGCCGGAAGTGGCGCTGTAGCTCACATGGTAGAGCACTAGCCTTGAGCTGAAGAGCTGAGGGACAGTGCCCAGGCCAGAGTTCAGGCCCCACAACCGGACCCAAAAAAAAAAAAAAAAAGAACACTGGTCCTTTAGAGAAATGGCCATTCAGGAGCTGGTGGGGTGGCTCAAGTGGTAGAGTGCCTGCCTCGCAAACCTGAGGCCCACAGATCAATGCTCAGTGCTACAAAAATAAAACCAAAACAGAACAGCTATTCAGGTGATAACACACTTACAAATTTGAGATTAGGCTGCCTGTGTAATGGTGTTGTTTGTTACGTGTCTGATACTGCATTTTTATAGCCTTTCCTTTTTATTATTAAGCATCTATATTTCAGACAGTAACTCTTAGTATAACTTTGCCATAAAACATTTAATGTTCATTCTACAATCTTAAGTTCCTATGACTTGGAAATAGTATAGTTATTACCACATTCATTATAGCTTAGCAGCTTGGGAGTGATAGCTATAATTTTCTTTTTATAGTTTAGGCATGAGCCAAATGGAAAAACATGGACTAAGTGTTTTCTGAATAACCTGAACCTAAAATAAGTTTTAAGGGGATATGCACTGAATCATTTAAATGGACAAAGAACATTCTACTCTTAAGTGTTTTTAGCTTTGAAATCTACCACTACTTTGAGAAAATAAGCTTATTTATACTTGTGTTATCTTTCTAAAGCTCACTGTTGAAAAGGAAATAATTGACTTATTAATTATGAGTTTTTGAAAGCACTGAAAGAGGAGAAAGCCACTTCTAAGGTATGTCTAAGAAGGGCAGATAAAAAGAGCCACGGTGGTCATTTTTCTTGTGAATGTTTTTATGAACTCCTTATTAATTTTGTAAAGCATGGTATGACTTCTGCTTCTGAAAATAAAAAAGGAATTTCTTCTGTCAGAGGACAACTGTACTTAGAGTATAATTTGTCCTAGTGACAAACTTACTTGCATCTAGTGATGTTAATGCAAGTGGGAAATTTCTTCTGTTAGCAAGTTCTGTTAGCAACTTCCTTCTGTTTGGAAATTATGCAGTGCACTTTCAAGAACTTTTACTCTGGGCAGATACTGAGCTCCTGAGGAGCTGCGCTGAGAAGCTGAGGCTGTCCTCTGCATTCAGCATCCAAAGCTCAGTTTTCCCAGTGAGTGAAAAGTTTAGCAGTGAACAGATTAGTGCCTGCCTGAGCTGCCTTACTTCTGTCTAGGTTTAATTTCGAGTTTCTAAGGACTTGTAGGAATAGAGATTCTTCAGCAGTTTGGAAGCGACTGGGAACCTAGATCTCAGAAATGCTCTCTTCCTTCACAGCTTTTAGTGCCTTTTACAAGACAGTGTTCAAGCAGCATATTCCGTCCTAATGTTCATGGCCATCTTTTAGTATGTATGCTACTAAAATGAGCATTCATTTCTTTTTATGGTACTATGGGTTGATCTCCAGAGCTACCCTTCTAAGCAAGGTCTCTGCCAATTGAGCCACACCCCAGTATCTATCTTTTGTGTGTGTAGGGGTCAATATTAGAATTTGATTGCAAGGCCTTGGACTCTCTCACTTGGCTTTTTCATTCAGCACATTGGCCACACCTCCAATTAGGCTTTTTGCTGGTTCACTGGAGAGGAGTATCAAAGACGTGCTCAGACTGTCTTCAGACTTTGATTCTGAGGTCTCAGCTTCTGAGTAGCTAGGATTACAGGCAGGAGCTACCAATGCTTGTTTGTATCATCTTTTAAAAGCTCCGATAAACCGTTGATTTCTCATTTTGCCTGCGAAGTTTAGCACATCATCTCCACGTGCTAGTGATAGGAATAGCTAATCATTTGTATTTTCTAGGGTTGTTTTTTTTAAAGGTTCTTCTTTTGCCACCTATGGTATAAATACTCTGTATCTATGCCCTATGGTGGACACCTGAATTAGTCCTTGGTGTCATTTTGTTATCTCATTGGTGTCACAGCAGAAAATATGGCTATACCTTTATACAGGCTACTGAGAAATCATTACAGGTAGTTGGATCATCAAAAAAGCAGGCACCAAGGGAACACCCCAGAAAGGAATAGGTGCTGTGCCCTCTGACTGCGCTGTTCCATGGCGGAATAGATCATAGGGGCTGTGAGGGATTAAAAGTCGGCTACTTTGCATTTAATGTTCTCCATCCTAAAATAGCGCCTCTTTATCTCCTCCTCAGCCCTCAGCAGAAAAATTCAATCATGATGCTCTTGGAGATAAGAAATGGATGAAGTAGCCAAGATTACATAATCCTATATCCTATATGCGACATATATCAGTAGATCTTTGAAGGAAACATAATACTGTTATTAAAATATCTCCAGTATTAATATTAATATTAAAACATCTCCAAGTCATCACTGACTATTGATGGCTAGGAGTTTCATCCTGGTGCTGGGAATGTGGCTTAGTGGTAGAGTGCTTGCCTATTATGCATAAAGCCCTGGGTTCAATTCCTCAGTACCATATTAACAGAAAAAGCCAGAAGTGGCTCAAGTGGTAGAGTATTAGCCTTGAGCAAAAGAAGCTCAAGGACAGTGCCCAGACCTTGAGTTCAAGCCTCAGGAATGGTTAAAAAAAAAAAGTTTTGTCCTATGCCAATTAAAAAAAAAAGTCTTAGTTATGTTGTCCCAAGTTCCTCTGACCTATATACCAATTACACCAATAAGGACTGATTTTTAAACCTACCTGGGGATTCCAATGAGTTACAGGAAACATTCTGAAAATAAATAGCCAGGCATGGTGGCATACCTGTAGTCTCAGTTACTCAGCAGGCTGAAACAGGAGGATCATGTGAAGCTATGAATTGGGAAGACCAGCATGGGTAATATAGTGAGACTTTGTCTCAATAAAGGAAGTGGATGGTTGGAGGGATAGCTCAGTGTTAGAGTCCCTCTGCCTGGGTTCAAATCTAGTATCACCCTACCCTAAAACAGAAAGAAGCAGTACATGTGGCAACAAATTCAGAATCATGTGTTCTCAGAAATAATTCTCTAAGGTAAGTGAGAACAAATCTAGATGAAACTAAGCAGTATGCGTAAAAACAAGCTCAGTTCAGAACCAGCCATTTTTTTCAAAAGTATCTTCCCAGTGTGAGTCTGCGCAGATGTGCATATTCTCTGGTCTGGGTTAGAGATGCTCAGGCCTCTCACTGTCTGAGGTCCAGACAGATAGGGAACTGCAGGACCACATGAGTTCAAATCCCATACTTGTATTCGTAATACAGAAGAGGCTTCGTGTGAAAAGCTTCAGTTAAAAGTGTAAGACGTGGGCGCCGGTGGCTCACGCCTGCAATCCTAGCGACTCACGAGCCTCAGATCTGAAGGTCGCTGCTCAAAGCCAGCCCATGCAGGAAAGTCCGTGAGACTTATCTCCAATAAACCACCAGAAAACTGGAAGTGGCGCTGTGGCTCAAGTGGTAGCTTGAGCCTTGAGCTGAAGAGCTGAGGGACATTGCCCAGGCCCAGAGTTCAAGCCCCATGACCGACTGAAAGAGAAAACTATAGAGCTAGGTATGGTGGTACATGTGGGAGACATGCAGTCTGAGGCTGGCACAGTCATAAAAATTAACTAAAATGCAAAAAGGGTGAAGACAGGCTTGAGTGGCAGAAAGTGCTAGCAAGCACAATCAATAACAGTATATTAAAACAATCCAGCATAAATAATGCTCACATCATCGCTATAAGATTTATTATTATTCTAGTCACTAAGAAGTCTCCTTTCCACTCTTCCCCAAGAGAAATTGGCTTATGTGGTCCTCAGAGTACTTCCTACCTACAAGAAAGATGGACAGGAAGATGGCAAGCACAGAGTCTTTATTTTACACAGCTCTAAAGAGGACTTTAAGTGAGCAGCCAACAAAATTTATCAGAGGAAGTGACAGCAAAGGTAACTGGCTCAAGTCCCTCTGTCTATACCATGTACATTGCATGTCTGAGCACCTTGTGTATCTGGCTTAAGTGAAGGTAAGGCATTTTAGATTGTGCAAACAAATCTGTGGTCAGAAATGGCTACTTACATGCATCACACTAAATGCACAACCTGACATTATTTGATCTGCAATCAAAGTTTTCTCAAGCAAAGATGCACATGAACAATGACAAACAATACAGAGCAACTTGGCAGAGAATGGCTGTGTAGAACAGTGCACACTGATCAAGAGCCCCATGCGGGAGGAGCCTTCCCAGTGGCAGAGCCGGCTAGGAAGGTGAGCAGCAGCCATGTCCAGCCACCTCGACTTCCTTCCCGCCTTCACTCTAAGTTGAGCAGCTCCACGTCAAAGATGAGGGTAGCATTTGGAGGGATGACACCAGGATGGCCCGTGACTCCATACGCCACATCAGGAGTGCAGGTCAGCTTCGCCCTCTGCCCCAAGCTCATCTAGCAGGGATGGGGGCAGATGGGGAGAGGAGAAAGAGGACCCAGCTTGATTTAAAAGAAAAAAGTGAGATAACTATGGCATTTTTTTTTTTTTACCAAACAATCTTCAGGTCTTCATCTGAAGACCTGAGATGAATTTTATATGTGGCATGATAAAATTATGTTAACAGCCCTAACAAATGTGGGTTTTGCCTCAAAATAGAGACTTGCCAGCGGGTAATTCTAGCTACTTAGGACCACAGTTCAAAGCCAGCCGGAATAGCAAAGTCCATTAGAGTCTTTTTTTTTTTTTTTTGGTTGGTCATGGGGCTTGAACTCTGGGCCTGGGTGCTGTCCCTCAGCTCTTCAGCTCAAGGCGAGCACTCTACCACTTGAGCTACAGTGCCACTTCCCATTTTCTGGTGGTTTATTGGAGATAGGAGTCTCACGGTATCTCCTGCCCAGGCTGGCTTTGAACCTCGATCCTCAGATCTCAGCCTCCTGAGTAGCTAGGATTGCAGGCGTGAGCCACCAGCGCCCAGCCATGAGAGTCTTATCTCCAACTAACTACAAAAAAAAAAAAAAGCTGGAAGCAGAGTTGTAACTCAAGTGGTAGAGCACTAGCTAGCCTTGAGCAAAGAAGCTCAGGAACAGCATCTAGGTCCTGAGTTCAAGCCCCAGGACTGGCACAAAAATAAAGCAAGAGAAGATGCAGTGTCTTGATTCTTGACTACTTGACCAAGTAGTCTCAAATTCATTCAACAAGCATTGCTGGTTATCCAATTAGTGTGTGGCCAGACACTTCAACTTACTCATAACTGCTCCTCACTCTTCCAAAGAAGCCAGGAGGAATTGTATAAACAACATTCTGACATAGTTAAAAGGAGAGAGGAGCCAGGCACCGGTGGCTCACGCCTGTAATCCTAACTACTAAGGAGGCTGAAATCGAGGATTGCGGTTCAAAGCCTGCCTGGGCAGGAAAGTCTGTGAGACTTTTTCTCCAATTAATCACCAGAAAACTGGAAGTGGTGCTGTGGCTCAAGTGGTAGAGCTCTTGTCTTGAGCTGAAGAGCTTAGGGACAAGGCCTAGGCCCATAGTTCAAGCTCACGACCGCCCCCCCCAAAAAAGGGGGAGAAGTTCATTAAAGAAGTTCAGGGAAGCCAGGCGCTGGTGGCTCACGCCTGTAATCCTAGCTACTCAGGAGTCTGAGATCTGAGGATCGCGGTTCAAAGCCAGCTCGGGCAGGAGAGACTGTGAGACTCCTATCTCCAATAAACCACCAGAAAACCAGAAGTGGCACTGTAGCTCAAGGGGTAGATCACTCGTCTTGAGCTGAAGAGCTGAGGGACAGCACCCAGGCCCAGAGTTCAAGCCCCACGACCGACAAAAAAAAAAAAAAGAAGTTCAGAGACTAGATGTCACAGCAAAATGGTGAGACAACTGATGACATGTAAAAGTCAATTTTGGAATTTCAAATAATTCAAAAATTTGAATTATTCATTATTCTTTTGATGTTCATATTCTGGGTTTGATTAGTGTATTACAAGTTAAATAAAATGGTAACATATTGTATTATGGTTAAATAAGATGTTAACATTTGGGAAAGCTAGGTTCTTCGTACTATTTTTATAATTTTTTTTTTGGTCGGTGGTGGGGCTTGCACTCTGGGCCGGGGCACTGTCCCTCAGCTCTTCAACATAAGGCGAGCATTCTATCACTTGAGCCATAGCACCACTTCAGGTTTTCTGGTAGTTAATTGGACATAAGAGTCTCATGGATTTTCTGGCTTTATCTCAGACTCCTGAGTACCTGGGATTACGGGTGTGAGTCACTGGTTCCCAGCTGCAACTTATTTATTTATTTATTTATTTATTTTTGGGTCCGGTCATGGGGCTTGAACTCTGGGCCTGGGCGCTGTCCCTCAGCTCTTCAGCTCAAGGCTAGTGCTCTACCACTTGAGCCACAGCGCCACTTCCGGCTTTTTTCTTTTCTTTTTTGCTTATGTGGTGCTGAGGAATCGAACCCAGGGCCTCAGGCATGCAAGGCAAGTGCTCTACCACCGAGCCACCTTCCCAGCCCCTGCGATTTATTTTTAAGGCTGAAACTATTTTTTTAATAACAGTTTTATTTTATTGTATGTATGTATTTATTTATTTTTGCCGGTCATGGGCCTTGAACTCTGGGCCTGGGCGCTGTCCCTGTGCTCTTCAGCTCAAGGCGAGCACTCTCCCCCTTGAGCCACAGTGCCACTTCTGGCTGAAACTATTTCAAAAAAAAGCTGAAGGTATATCTTGGCCTATCCCACTCTAATTCTGCTGTCTTGGGCCAGCAGCTGGTTGGTTGGCCTTCTCAGTAGCTCAGAGCTAGCCTAGGGAGAAGTGCCTGGTATGAGAAGCCCCAGGGCACAAAGGAATTTACAAGGTTATGGAAACTAGTAGGGGAGGACAGAACCAATAGTGAACACTAGGTGGCACTGCCCTGGCAGTAGAGTCAAAGCAATGGTAGTATGAAGGTGGAAGGCAAAGAACTGATCCCAAGTCCCCAACTCCTTAAACTTTATTTTTTTTTTTGGGGGGGGGGAGGTCCGGTCGTGGGGCCTGAACTCTGGGCCTGGGCGCTGTTCCTCAGCTCTTCAGCTCAAGGCTAGTGCTCTACCACTTGAGCCACAGCACCACTTCCGGCTTTTTCTTTTTGCTTATGTGGTGCTGATGAATTGAACCCAGGGCCTCACACATGCAAGGCAAGCGCTCTACCACTGAGCCACCTTCCCAGCCCCGTTAAACTTGAGTGAGTATACTCATCCTACCTGGGCTGCACCCTCTTCAAAACCTTTAATAACTTCCTGCTTGCCAATTCTGAACTTGAAAGGTTTGTTTCTGTCTCTGGATGAATCAAATTTCTTCCCATTTTGGAGCATTCCTGTTGAAGCAAGAATAGGGTAGGAGAGAGATATGGCTATGAGTTAACATGCTGTGATCAAACATGTCTAAAATGGGAATTCCTTTTCCAAACAAACTTTCTCTTCTTCTTGACGGTTTCCATTTGCAGTATTAATTGTCCAAGCAAGAAAACTCAACAATTCCCACCACCTACCACTAACTCTTATCTCCTTGGAATCTGCCTTGTTTCTCCACTGGCTACCAGATGAGAATAAGACCCAAACACTTTTTGTTGCTCATAACTGAACCACTTACAACCATTACTCTTCAGTCTTACCAAGTTACCAACGTATTTTTTCACCTGTGGGCAGGGAAAACTTCCACTGTGAAACCCAATGGATTTTTTTTCTCTTTTAAACATAGACCTGATAGTATTACTACCCCTGCTTAAAACACTTTTGTAAACCCTCAGGGTAGAATCCAAATGTTTACATTCCATAAAGGCACTTCCCAATGAGGCTACTGCCTGTCTAAGCCCTCTCTACGATTTCTCCTCCCCTGTATCCTATTTAGATCACACCTTTCTCAAGTTCCTCTGCACTTTTTTAGCTACTTCCTCCATGTATTTTTCCCACTAAGTATTCCAGCTTGATGTTGAGTCTTCACCTAAGTTTTCCCCAAAATACAAAGCCCAAAAGTCACTGCCCAAAGGACCTGTGAGGTGGCTAAGAGGATCAGGGATTGGTTACAGACCCTACACAATGCCTGTTTGACCCCAGGATTCCCCGCTGTTGTCTCCCAGCAGTGTGGAGCATCTATTGCTCTCTAGCTATAGATGCCTAGTCATGTGTGTGGTGTCAGTCTAGTGCCCAAGGACCAACAGCATCTTTCCTGTATTTACTTCTTATGGTGACTCTCACTCAAAGATCCTATCATTTGTAACTCATTTTCTTCTATGACTTCTTCCTCAGCTACTGGACCCACCACATAACGTATTTGGGGACCACAGAAAGACTTGGCGTCTAAATTAGGAGACTGAGTTCTGACTTTAGTCTGGTACTTACTCATTGTGTGATACTGGGCCAACCATTTCCTTGGTCTGAGCCTGATTTTCCATATTTAACATAGAAGACTCTGCCAGCTTAGTGTCTGAGCATCTATGATTTCACTTCTGAATTCCTACAATTTAAATGTGTACTAGAGAAAGAGTCATATTTACCTACCTTCTGGATAGAATAAATTGGACTCTTGCCTTGGGTTCTAAATGAGGCAAAGGAGAAAACCCTCTGGCTACCCAGTGATACACACAGATGGATGTTACAAAGATGAACTGCAAATTCATGCATATACACAGGTTGCTATGATATTCAAGTAAACAGAGATAATTATGCATGCTCACATGTACTTATGCATACACACTCAAGATTAAAACCATGCTGGTCAAACAGATGCTAAGAAAATATTTAGATACACAGATCTACATACATTCATAGAGAAGTACTTGAACAAATACACACATGTGTATACACACACACACACACACTCCATTGAGAGACTTTCTCATTCCCCAATATCTTCAGGTTTCATGTGACTAAGTCAGCTTAGGGTGTGTATATTTAGCTATTACTGCAAGTTCAGCTAAAACCACATAGTCCATGATCAGGACCAGACATACAGTTACTTCACTTGGCAAAGATACTACTGCAATGCATCAAATAACGACTTTTTGGGGTGGGTGGGGGAGCTGGGTGCTGGTAGCTCACACCTGTAATACTAGCTACTTAGGATGCTGAGACCTGAGGATCACAGTTTGAAGCCAGCTGGAGAAGGAAAGTCTATGAGATTCTAATCTCCAATTAACTACCAGAAAACTGGAAGTGGAGCTATGGCTTAAAGTGGTAAAGCACTAGGGACTAGAGCTCAGGAACAGCGCTCAGACCTTTAGTTCAAACTCCATAACTAACCAAAAGGAAAAAAAAAAGACATTTTTTGAATGAATGTTTCTGTGTCAACTATATAACTATACTGAATATGTACTCCTCCCTACCAAACCACACATAAAAATCAATTCCAGGTGAAACATATGTTTACATTATGAAAACAAATAACAAAAGTTTCAGGCTTGAGATGTAGCTCAGTGGCAATGTGCTTTCATAGCATGCAAAAAACTCTGAGTTTGATCCAAATAATACCACTAATAAAGTCTGTACGAAGGGCCAGGCACAGTGGTGCACTCCTGTGTAATCCCAGCTACTCAGGAGGTAGAGGTAGGAAGATTGCATTTTGAGGCTAGTCTCCACAAGATGTTGAGATCCAAACTTAAAAAGCCAAGGGGTTAGCTGGGTGCTGGTGGCTCACCTATATAATCGTAGCTACTCAGGAGGCTGAGAACTGAGGATCATGGTACAAAGTCAGCCTAAGCAGGAAAGCACGTGAGACTCTTATTTCCAATAATACACTCAGAAAACAGGAAGTAGCGCTGTGGCTCAGGTGGTAGAGTGCTATTCTTGAGCTGAAGAGCTCAGGGACAATGCCCAGGCTCTGAGTTCAAGCCTCACGACAGACAAAAAAGCCGAGGGGCTGAGAGTGAGATAGAATGCTTACCTAGCATGCATGAAACCCTGGGTTCAATTCCTCAGTACCACATAAACAGAAAAAAACAAAAATGACACTGTGGCTTAAATGGTAGAGCAAAAGGAAGCTCAGAGATAGTGCCCAATCCCTGAGTTCAAGTCCCAGAACCCTAGATATATGGCTAAGTGATAGGGTGCTTGTCAATAGCAAGAGAAAGCCTTCAATTCAAAGCTCCAGAACCACACACACACACACACACACATACACACAAAGATAGAAAAAGAAGAAAAGGCCAGCCCAGTATGGTAGTTCATACCTGTGATCTCAGCTACACAAAGGTAGAGGTAGGAGGATAGGAGGATCACAGTCTAAAGCTGACTGTAAGAGTAGGAGACCCTATTGCAAGGAATAAAAAGCTAAAGCCAAAAGGCTGGTAACCATGGCTAGTAGTAGACTTGCTAGCAGGTACAAAGCTCTAAGTTAAAAAAAAAAAAAAAGTTCATGGGACTCATCTCCAATTAACCAGTGAAAAGCCCAAACTGGAAGTGTGGGTCAGGTAATAGAGAGCTAGCCTTGAGTGAAAAAAGCCAAGCCAGAGTGTATTACTACATGAGTGCTGGTGGCTCATACCTGTAATCCTAGCTACTCAGAAAGCTAAGATTTGAGGATCATGACTTAAAGCCAGCCTGGGCAGCAGAGTCCATGAGATTTTTACCTCCAATTAACTACCAAAATGCCAGATAGGAAGCTATAGCTCAAAGCGGTAGAGCACTAGCATTGAGTAAAAAAAGCTTAGGGACAGTGCCTAGGCCCTGAGTTCAAGCCCCAGAACCAGCACCAAAACAAAGTAGGACTATGAGTTCAAGCCCCAGTACCGGCACAAAATTGTTTTTAAGCCTTCATTGAGGCTGGGGTGTGGCTCAGTGGTAGAACAGTTGCCTGGTATGGGTGAGACCAGGATTTGAGGCTTAGCACTCAGCAAACAATTTCAGGAGCTTGAACATCTTCAATTATGTATTCCACTTTTCTTTCTTTTTTTCTAGTCATGGGGCTTGAACTCAGGGCCTGAATCCTGTTCCTGAGCCTCTTTGTGCTCAAGACTAGTACTCTACCAGTTGAGCCACAGTGCCACTTCCGGCTTTTTCTGAGTAGTTTATTGGAGATAAGAGTCTCTCGGACTTTCCTGCCGGGGCTGGCTTCAAACCTCAATCCTCAGATCTCAGCCTCTTGAGTAGCTAGGATTATAGGCATGAGCCATGGGCACCTGGCTTTGTACTCTACTTTCCAACGTATGTATTCAAATTTTTACAAAGCTTACCAGAAGCTCCATATATAGTTTCCTGATGTGTTTGATAAGACTGTCTCTTGCTAAACCACAGCCACTGCTAGTTGATGGTGTTTAAGGCACATTGGCTGCTCTGTGCATATATTGTGAAAAGACTTTTCGAAAGGATGCTGTGGTTTCAGTAACTTGATAAACACTGGTCTGTCCACAACATGTAGAACAGATAAATCAATTACCCAGGTCAGAGGCCCAGAGGCCTTATGGTAATTAGGCCACATCACTGGGAGATAAAACACAGCTCCAGCCCACTGACATCAGCGACTGGCGACCCAGCCGTTGAGAAATGTCCACAGTGTCTGCTAGCGCCAACCCAGTGCTTCGCACTGGCCCAGAGAACTGCTAAAAATGGCCCCACCTGAATACACCTCAGGAATTGAGCTGCCTTTACTGTATGCTAAATAGTTATCACCCCCCAAGAGTTTGCCATATTAGGAAGCAGGTCATAGGCACAGCCCTCACACCTCTTGGAACAAATATCTGCTTGTGAGCTCCCGGCCAGTGGTCCTGGAGAACTCATCTAGAATGGCTCTTGCCCTACCTGGCTTTAGATACACAGCATCCAAGTGGGGACAGAGAGTGGGGGGCTCTCCTCTGAGCTCCTGCAGCCTCCAAGGCAAGCTCTGCTGTCACCCCACCCCTCGCCGGGGCCTCCTGTGACTTGTCTGTTTCTTCCCTGGCCACTGCCACAGCCTCAATGCAGGTAGGGAATCTCTCTTGCTCATCTTCGTGGCCCCAGGACCAGCCCAGCACAGATGGTGCCCAGTAATAGTAGGCTAATTTGAACTGTATATTTCTTTTCTCTTTTCTTTTTTTCACTTCTTTTCTTTTCTTTTTCTTTTTGAGATGGTGTCTCACTCTGTAGCCCCAAGTGGCCTCAAATTTGCAGTCTTCCTGCTCAGCCTCTCGAGGGCTGGAATTACAGGTGTGTACCACCATACCCAGCTGAACAGTCTGATTCAGAAGAGAAAGGAAATCTTGAGAAGGCCAACCTCCTTTTCTGGAATGACAGTATAAGGAAAAAAAGGGAGGATGGGGGCTTTCTGAGCCTCCAGAAAGAGTTCCAACCATCAGACAGAACCAGGAGGCTTCAGACAACACCTCACTTACCATCTTGTCTGTAGTGAGTTAGGGGGATGTGACAGGTTTGATTCCACCAGAGACTGGCACCACAGATTGCCTTTGCAGGTGGAGAGAAGTGGACTGGTCACAGGGGGATCTGGCCACCTTGGGCTTCTGGCCTGGAGAGGAGCTTATAGGAGAGGCCTGCCTTGGGAGGGGTAGGTCTGGGGCGGGGCTAAGGGAGGAAGGCCTACCTGTGTAGTGTACCACGCATGTCTGGCCCTTCTTGGGGAAAGTCCTTCCTGTAAAGAGAAACCAGGCAGATGAAGAAGTAGGGTATTAGAAAAACTCACCTGAGACATTCAAGTGTGATCTCAGGCCCACATTCCCCCCTGCCATGGCGATGCCTGTGACCCTGCTTCTGCTCTGTGCCTTGTACGAGCCAGAACAGGTCACTCACTTTCTGGTCTGGATCGAACTTTATGCCATTGCCTTCCTCAACTCCCCAGTTTCCGCAAAAGGAAAAGAAAGAAAGACAGTTTTTCCTTTTACCTTCCTTCATCTACTCCACAAGCATTCATGACCATCCTACTATGTGTCAAGCAATAGATAAATACACACATGGATTCAAGAAGAAGTAGTGCTAGATATTGGTGACTCACACCTATAATCCTAGCTACTCAGGGGCCTGAGATCTGAGTAACATGATTCAAAGCCATCCCTGGCAGGAAAGTCCATGAGACTTATCAATACCAAAAAGCCAGAAGAGTTGTGACTCAAGTGCTAGAGCCTTGAGCAAAGCAGCTTATGGACAGTGCCCCGGTCCCTGACTTAAGCCCCAGGACTGGCACAAAAAGAGGAAGAAAGAAGATGTTAATGATAACATATAAACCCTCACTGTTTCCAGCATGAATAAACACAATTATAACTGCTTATTGAGTGCCTACTATGTCCTAGGCCTGCCTGATCCCAGGAAGCACAGCAGTGATTAAGTTCCTGCTCTTCTGGAGTTTACATTTTAATGGAGGGAGACAAACAATCCTTAACTCTAGAAGACATATGTGGATTGTCATAAGTCTTCTAAACAAAATAAACATAACTATGACTTTAAGACACAATGAACCAGTAATTTTAGAAAAGGCAGTCCAGCTGGGTGCCAATGGCTCACACCTGTAATACTTACTACTTAGGAGGCTGAGATCGGAGGATGGAGGTTCAAAGCCAGCCTGAGCAGGAAAGTCTGTGAGACTCATATCTCCAATTAACCACCAAAAACCTGGAAGTGGCGCTGTGGCTCAAGTGGTAGAGCTCTAGCCTTGAACACAGAGAGGCTCAGGGACAGGGCCTAGGCCCTGAGTACAAGCCCCAGGACCAGTCAAAGATAAAAAAATAAGAGGCAGTCTAGGAGGAGCTCTTAGAGGAGGTGATGCTTGAACTGGGACTTGAGGGAGGATGGAAGAACCAGTGCACAGACTCACGGAAGGAAGGACTGGAATATTTGCACAATCAAAGAAGGCTTGGGACTGAAAAGGAGAGGAAGAGGAGAAGTGGGGCTTCCAGTGCCAGATTGAATACTACGTGCAAAGGAAACCAGCCACTAGAGGGGTGTAAGCAAGAAAATGACATAATCTGAATTAAGATTTTATAAGATCACTCTGGCTGCTGTGTGTGGGACGGACAGCAAGGCATCTGTTGCAATAATTCAGACAAGAAATCAATGATGGCATGAATTAAGATGGTGGCAGAAGAGAGAGTAGAATAGATTGGTGATATATTTTGGTAGTGGAGCTAACCAGATATACAAATGGATTGAAGATGGAATTCAGGATGGGGGAAAAGGCAAAAAAAAAAAAAAAAAAAACAAGAACAATGTTTAGGTTTCCAGTTTGGGCAGCAGGGATTTGTGGTGGGACTCAGATTCATGCAGGTGGCAGTCATGAAGTTCTTAATAGACATCAGAATTTATAAGACGAGAAGTCTGTAATGAAGGGAGGCATTTGAGTGGGATTTAAAGCTATGGAGGGAAGCTGAGCCCCGGGAGCTCATGCCTATGTTCCTAGCTACTGAGGAGGCTGAGATCTGAGGCTTCAGCCAGCCTAGGTAGAGACTCTTTCTTCTAGTCACAAAAAAGGGGGTAGGGGGAAGTGGAGCTGTGGCTCAAGTGGGAGAGCACTAGCCCGGAAAGGAACCAGCAGAGGGATAGTGCTTAGGCCCTGAGTTCTAGCCCCAACACTGGCACAATAAATACATATTGGGAGCTTGGTAAGGCAAACAGCATGGCCAATATTTAAAGGCTGGCAGAAGCCTGGAAAAGGGACATCCTAGTGAAAAAGCATCACAGAGCCATAATGGTACAAACGACAAAGGAGACTGAGAGAGGATGTACAGGAATGAAATATGGGAGAGAAAATGACACACAACACATTTTCAAACGCCAAGAATCCAGGGCCAGGGATGTGACTCAGTGGTAGAACACCTGAGTCTGATCCACAGTACGGCCAAGAGGTTAAAAAAAGAAAGAAAGAAAGAAAAGCCAAGTCCAGCCAGAATGGGAACCCTGTGTCACCCCTGTAACCCAGGGTCCAGTACACAGTACATGTTCCATAAATATTTGCTGAATGGGTAGTGTGTTTAACAGCGCTCAGGGAGGTTGGCGAAGCTGGAGGAGTGGGGGGGGGGTAACTTTGCCAAGAAGAGGAGGGGAGTGAGGTGGGGCAGCCAGGCCAAGGATGAGGAGATGAGTCTGAAAGTTGGGGAGACAGTTCAGAGGCTGGGGGGCGGGATTGTTCAAGGCTCTGCAAGATGCATCTTGGCCCCCGTGTCAACGTATCCTGAGTGGACAAAGAAGTGTGTACCCCAAGGGCAATCTGGGTAGGGGTTGGTCCTTCCAGATACCACCGCCTTTCAACAAAGAGGGGCCTGGAGCCAGGAAACCTCCAATTCCTGGAGGGGGAGCAGGTGGTGTCAGGAATCCCAACCGGAAGTTTGCCTACCAAGTCCTGCGGAGATGGGGAACCGGGAGTGCGAATCGAATTCCACGGAAGGAATCACGAAGTAACCATTCTTTGCATCTCGCACCCCGTTACCTAAGGGCTTGGGAAGGTAGGAGGTGCCCACGGCCCCGGACACCGAGCCGGAGCCGGGAACCGGGAGGAGCACTTGGGGACGAGCACGGTTGAGGGAGAGTTCTTTTTAGGACTTCTCCCTCTAAGGTATCCTAGGCCATCCAAGCAGGTGGAGCAGCAGGTCGCGGGCCTGGGCTTTGAGGTGTAAACGTGGAGGCCATGCGGGTGGACAGGATGGCCGGGAGGATGGAGATGCAGGGGCGGGGACGGGGCCGAAGGTCTGCGTCCAGCCCCCGGCGGGGGGAGAGGCCGTCCACGGGAGGCCTGGCGGGGTGGGGCAGGTTACGAAGGACCCCCCCCCCAGCAGGTCCATCCTCCACCCCCTGTTTCCAGAGCTCGCTCAGCAAGGCAGGGAACGCGGAGCTGAAATCCGACCCTGGGAGATCGGCAGCCGCGGATAACCGAGCGCTTCCAGCGCAGGAGGCGGCGGCCCCGGGACGGGGGTGGGGGGTTCGCGGCCCACCCCCGGCCGGGCTGCCGTCCCCCTGGGTGAGCCGGTGCAGAAGGGGGACGGGGACGAGGGTCTCCGGGGCGCCCAGGAGCCTCCTCGGGATGTGCGTGGGGGGTCCCCGACCTCATCCCGCCCCCTCCCCTCGGGCGCCCCCACCCCGGCCACCTCGGAATCAGACCCCGGCCCGCGGACTCCTCCCCCGGCCCCGCCGCCCGCCCGGTACCGTCTCCCGGGGAAATGGTCTCGATCTCCACGCCCATCGCGCTCCCGCAGGCCCCGCCTCCGGGGGGGTCCTCGCCGCTGCCCCGACCCCGGCTCCGGCCCGACCCCGCAGGAGCTCCGGGCTCGTCTCCCCGCCGCCGCCACCACTGCAGAGCCGGAGGAGGTGCGGCTGGAGCCGGGACCTGCGCGGGGAGGGGCCACCGGCGAGGGGGCGGCGGGGTGGAGCCGCGGGGAAAGGTGGGGTGGGCCGGGGCGGGGCCCGGGGAGGGGAGCCCTGACGCGGCGCCTCTCCCGACCCCAGATCCCGACCCCACCGGCTGGGGTGGAGGGGGCCGTGCAGACGCCCCCGCCGCGACGCCCACTGTCTGGGCCGCACGCCTTTATTTAGCATCTACTCCGTGCTAACCTCGGGGTGGGGGGGAATCAACCCCCAGCAGACTGGGAGAGAGCCAGCAGTTAAACCCACGCTTCAGCCAGACGTGCCCGACGCCGGGAGTCAGGGCACTGCGGAGGCCCGGGAGCGGTACCTACCTGACAGCTAGTGGGCTCCAGGAGCTGGGCGGCGGGCGCGAGGAGGTCCCCGTGAAGGTTGACTCTCCCTCATCCCACAGCAGTTCTGTTCCATGCACTTGAGTGGGGAGGGGGGGCGCGGGCTTCTCACTTTTCAACGCGAAGAACTGCTCCCTGGGGACACCCATTGACTGAAGACTAAACAACTGTCCCACAAAAACTAGCTGAGGACCCAGACAGAAGCAGCTCGGAGCAATGAGTGCTGTGGAAGATGGGAGCGAATTCTTTCACCTCCAAAACAGACCCAGGAATCTTGAAAGACGCTTTCGCATTCATTCATTCACTCATTCATTCATTCATTCATGGAGCTGAAGATGGAACCGGGCCTTCAGACTTGCTAAGCCAATAGGGGTAAACACTCTCTAGAACGAAATTTGCCAGAGGCAACATTTGTTTGAAGAACGAAGGGGAGTTTAAGAACTTTTGTGGTTTGTTTTTTTTCTCTAGTCATTCTAACCCGCATTGTTCCAAGAATCCAAGAATTCCATCTCGATTTACTTCTGACCTGTGAAGTGGAAGGTATGGAGAGAAATTTCTGCCTGAGCAAAGGCACCCAAAATGGATCCTTGAGATCTTTGAGGGGTTTCTCCTCCATTTCCCCATCCTCTACTCTTGCAGGAGGTTAGCTCACAGACAAGGCCGTCGGTATCCTTGACGGAGGACAGACTGGTGAGGATCTCAAATCCTCCATGGGTGCTTCAAGATGTGGCCCAAAGTTTCCAAGTAATGAAGCCTAACAACCACCGCTGGCTCTGACGACGGACAGTGAGTGTAGAACAGAGGCTTGTCATTTGAACAGGCCTACAGAGAGGGTTCTTTACAATGCACGTTAAAATAAGTGCCTAAGAACATTGTGTTTTGTGTGATGAGAGGGGCGAATAGGGAGAGAGTCAAATTGATGGGATTTCCAAGGGGCTCCAAACTTCTTCTCTCCTTCAGGAAAGACCAAAAGTATTAAGATACTTTTTTGACTCTGTGGTTCCGACTTAGATCAAGAAAAAAAAAAAAACCGACGAGAAGTTGGAAAACGGGTTAAAACATTTGGGTGGAAGAAATTCAGGCTGATTTGCAATCGGTGGTTTTTAGAACTACAACTCCCAGAAATGCTTGCAACAAAGTCAGAGCCTATTGGCCAGTTGGAAGGACACTTTCCTAACATGACACATCCACAAGCCAATCGTCAGGAAGCACTGCGGAGCCGGCCCCAGACTCCACTAACCAATCAGAGGACTGAGATGGAGGGGAAACTGCTGCTTCCGTTAGCTGCCCAGGATTCCTGATCTCCCATTCTGCGACCCCGAGGCTGCGTCGGGGACCCCAATGTTTCTGTGCGTGTGGGGGGGCAGCGAGAGTAAAGGTATTTTGTCTCCCGTGCTTGCTGCCGGGCCGGATGTGGAGCGGCTGTGGGTGGGCGGGGAGAGCCTTGGGCGGCGCTGGGAGGATGGGGGCGGAGACGTCCAAGTGGGGAGCGTGGGGCGCCGCGTGGGAGCCGGGGCGGCCCGGCCGGCGCGGGTTTGGCCCGGGTCGTGTGTTCCCCGTGGCTCGAGGGCGCTCCTTACCCCTTAAGGAGACTTTGGAAGTAAAACGCTCCCCCCGCGCAGACTTGGCCGCGGCGTTTCGTGTAGTGGCCGGCCGCGTGTGCTCCGCAGTGCGGACTGTGAAATGGCTCCTGAAAGGAGTTGCTCCAACTGTCAGCCGCGTCGGGAAGCGCCGCCGTGCGGTCCGAGTGAAAGGTGCCACGGACGGGGTGCCGCGCGAATAAACATGCCCAGGCCGCCGACCTGGGTGAGGCCCCTGCGCGGGCCCAGAGATCCCACCGGTGTAGTTTAACCAAGGCAGCCGTAACCGACTAGTCAATTAAGCTATAATCAATGACGTGTGTGTGTGTGTGTGTGTGTGTGTGTGTGTGTGTGTCCTGGAGCTTGAACTCATTCTTCTTCTCAAAGCTAGTGTGTGTGTGTGTGTGTGTGTGTGTGTGTGTCCTGGGGCTTGAACACACCCTGGGGCTTGAACTCGGGGTGTGTGTGTGTGTCCTGGAGCTTGAACTCATTCTTCTTCTCAAAGCTAGTGTGTGTGTGTCCTGGGGCTTGAACACACCCTGGGGCTTGAACTCGGGGTGTGTGTGTGTGTGTGTGTGTCCTGGAGCTTGAACTCATTCTTCTTCTCAACGCTTGTGTGTGTGTGTGTGTGTGTGTGTGTGTGT